AATAGATATTAATAAAGGCACCCTGTTGCCGAGTCTCTGTGGTGGAGGGGTTGACAAACTTACAGGCTCTCCCAACAAAGTCTATGGTTCCAACAAAGTCTGAAAACATTGAACATTCATCATGTCCGTCTCTGATCTAGGCACTCAACATTAAAAGGCAAATAAATCATGATTCCGTACATGGTTCACAATCTCACATGGGTATGAGACTCCACTTTTAGTCAGTTAAACCTTAAGGTCACGATTTAAGGCTATTTTCTAAACGTCAAAAGAAAGTTGTAGCAGCAGGATGAAGCTATAAATCTGGGGATAATTCTAATTATAGTGTGCTGCCTAAATGTATGGCATCAGGGTATGTCTTTAGAGAATTTTCTTATAAACCACTAAAGTTAGACTAAAATACTTAGACGCGGTGCCTTCTGATTGCACTTAATAGACTCTGAGGGCAATCAGTACCAGTGGTAGTATAAAATGACCTATAAATGGAGAAGGTAGAAAATAAAAGTAGAGGGCTTCCCTGGTGGCGCAGTGGTTGAGAGTCCGCCTGCCGATGCAGGGGACACGGGTTCGTGCCCCAGTCCGGGAAGATCCCACATGCCGCGGAGCGGCTGGGCCCGTGAGCCATGGCCGCTGAGCCTGTGCGACCGGAGCCTGTGCTCCGCAATGGGAGAGGCCACAACAGTGAGAGGCCCGCGTACCGCCAAAACAATAAATAAATAAAAAATAAAATAAAATAAAAGTAGATATCACCTTCCCTTGAAATTCAACTCTTCGCAATCATACGTAAATTAGCTCTTGGATAATTTTGGAGTGGGAAGGCAATGAATTTATAAGGCACAAGGCAGGGAAAAACTGGCATGAGCTTTACCAGGAAGGAAACAAGGCAAAGTTAAGGCATATGTAAATATCTATGATAAAAGGTAGGAAGCGATAAATGCCACAAAAGAAAGACAAGAAAAATACTGGGAGTTCAGACGGAAAGAGTATTTCTGGCTGCCAGCATTTAGCTCGTGGAAGTAAAGAGTGCTCATGCAACTGCTGGGAGCAAGATTATTCCCAGAACAACGTGACCGGGGTACAGAGACAGACGCTGACTGTCCAGTGAACGCTGTTGTGCAATTTCACAGCGGGAGAGAAGGGGAAGGGCTCAGATAGGAGAAGGGTGGTATTTCCAGGGAAGGCTGGAGAAAACTGACAGAGGATCTTACTAGGGAAAATGGATTTGATGCTGAGCCAGACTTCCAGCCAAGATGACATTTTCATTTAATATTTTGAGATTCCTCTCTTCTCATTGTGCTTCAAAAAGAAAACCAAGAGGCATAAATGAGAAAAGTCATGTTATAGCTGTGATTAAAAGAAGATCCTAAATATTTCCATGTATCAGAAACAGAACCAAAGTGCAAAATGGTGATCAGAACCAAGCCACACAGGTCCTGTACTCTGTATGTGGAAGCAGGAGGACACTGACGAGGGTTCAGCTCTTGTAAAACAATAGAGACTAACAGGTCTCCATGTGTGGCTAGAGACAGGAACCAACCCTGTGGGAGACTGTTACATGGTGGCCTTCAACGAACCATTTTCCTATGTTCACAACGTTGTCTAATCCCTTCCCTCATCAACTCTAGGCTTGGCCATGTGACTCACTTGGCCAATGGGACATCAGTAAATGAGATACAGCAGAAGCTTAATACATGCTTATACACTGAGGCACGTCCTGTTGGAAGCTCTCCTCTTGAAAGCCAGTGGCTATGCTGTGAAGAAACTCAGGCAAGATACTGAATGATGAAAAGCCACCTGGAGAGAAGCCCTGGAGAATGAGAGTTCATCTTGGGCATTCCAGTGGCAGATGAGTTCCCATTCACTGGTCACAGAATCAATACTTCACTATTAACTAAATAATTATTTATTAGGCACCCACTACATGCAAGACATTGTTCCCACACTGAGGATTATGAGTAAATTAGACAAAGTCCAGCTCTTGTTGAGCAAATGACCAAATCCATTAAGCTCACAATTTTCACCCAACTCTTCCTTTCCTTAAAAGTCTTAAAATGGATTATTCGTGTCATCTCCTTTATCAAGTATCTCAGGCAGTATTTGAATCTCATCCAACTCTGACCATTATACCATCCAATCTGTTTCCACCTCCAAAGGGTCTCCCACCACACTGCTGTAGTCACAGATTTATGATCTGCACTGTCCTATTAATGCATTTTCTGGCCTTGTGGCTTAGATAATCAGGGACATCATGCATCGCTGGCATTTACTGTGTTTGCTTTAAGCTCTCGGGGCTTTCTCACATATTTTTATTTTGCAACACAATTTTGTGGGTTGAAAAATTGCAGCTCACGTTCCAAAGCTATTAGTATGACAAATATTCCTGTACGATGACCAGTGAACTCTAATAAGGCAGTAGGCCAGTTCCGCCACCTCCACCCTAAGGACCCGCTCCATCCCAGCCAAGACCTAGCCTCAGGGATCCAAGTCCAAGTCTCCTGGTGCTTAGAGATGGTTGGGGAGAAAAGAGGGGGACAGGTTTTAGAAGTGGAAAGCCAGATCTCATATAGTTTTGTCCAGAATTCCCTATAACATCTCCATCTAAATGGCAATTAGGAAGCCAGAGCCACTAACCAAAATGTGGTTTGAGTTGGTTTTAGGGCAGATCCAGGAAACCAGTATAAGCCAAGAATTTTGCTCACAGTCATGCTTCTCTTTTGGCGGATAATTCCTTTAATATGTAAAGTACATTGTATTTTTCAAATTGTTTTCATTTATGGAGTGAAATTAACAACTCTGAGATACAGGGAGATGAGATTATCACTCATGCATTTAGCCGGAGAGGAATCGAAGGCACCAGGAGGTGGCTTGGCCTCATAATGCAATTAAGTGGCAGAGCCTGTCCTTCAACTCGTCTTTTCTCCTTGTCTGGGATTCGACCTCTCTTTTTAACTAATCAAGATGAGCAAAGTGACTCTAATTGAGCAGTGTCCCTTGGACCGTCTGCTGCCCCAGCTCTCAAGGGAGTTTAACCAAATACTATTGAGGAGGAGAGAGTGGTAGAAACAGAATGAAGGGACAGAGCCAGAAGCTGAATGCTAATACATTTAAGAAACTAAGTTACCTGTGAGCCCTTTCAGAAGCCTGAATATCAAACAGTACAACTAGAAGAAAGAAGGCCCATTGACATAAAGGTCATAAAGTGAGGACAAAAGGGACAGTGACAGGACAGGAGTGATTGGGCCGCAACCAGTAAATGATGAGGCCATGGTAATGGCTGCACTGTGGGGACTGGTCCCAGGCAAGGTCAAGGTCAGCTGTGTCCCCAGGGTAGGGGCTGAGAGCTAAGGCCAGGAAGGAAGCAGAGGGCCCAGAGCCACAGGCTCCGAGAGAACTTCAGCAAAGGAGGGGAGAACTCAGGAACTGCTTAGGAACCCTGAGAGAGGAAGGGCAGGGATTTGGGACAGGATCCAACCATTCTACCACTCGGCTCCAGGAGAAACAATACAGTTTTTTTGCTATGTTTATCGTTCTTTATCTCCTTATTATTGTACTGCTCCACATGGTCTGGCCTGAGAAACTTGGGTTACACAACTTTGATCAGGACACAGTTCCAATCGTAAAGAGGTCAGAGTAGTGGGGAGATAACATGAACATAACTACTTACAAAAGTGTGCAATAAATGTAATAGATTATGTGTGTATCTATCATCTATCTAGCTAGCTAGCTAGCTAGCTACCTACCTACCTATCTATGCAAGATGCTTGGGAGAGCATCAATTTTTAAGTTATTTGCTAAGTAACTTAGCTCTGCTAGAGCTGCTAAATTCCCTCTGTTTTACCAAACTTTTCAGTAAATCTACACCATCAACAAGTTATTTGTGGGAGTATTTGAGTGGAAAAGCAAAGGAAAAAGGTTTGTGCTCCCTTCCTGGGTAGCTGTGGAAAAGAGAGATGAATCATGTGGCCTTGAGAACTGAGATGTGAATGAGACTGATAGTTGAGTAAGCGCAGAAACGTGGAGCTGGAGGTGGCCGGAAGAAATATACACCCGCAAAGATGTCAAGGGCACCAGTGGGCTCTCCTCCATCAAGTTGAACTGGGGGTCAAGTCAAGGTCAACTGAATCTCAAAGGAAAGACTGATGTCCAGCTGATTTGGGGGTCGCATTTATTTAACCTCGTTCAGAACCTTAAACCTTCTGAGAGCGATTCTTTCGGTTTCCCAAAAGTGGAGTCTAGTTTTATTGTGTTCATGTCTCTCCCACACCTCGCACTTCTGAATTCCTTTCTCTCTGTAAAATATTTTTTTCTTTAGCATAAAATTTAGAGCGGTAGTCCACCTGCCGATGCAAGGGACACGGGTTCGTGCCCCGGTCCGGGAAGATCCCACATGCCACGGAGCAGCTGGGGCCCGCTGAGCCTGCGCGTCCGGAGCCTGTGCTCCGCAACGGGAGAGGTCACACCAGTGAGAGGCCCGCGTACCACACACACAAAAAATAAATAACACACGAAATTCTCTGGCTTGAATGATGTGTTTATTTTCTTTAAATACACTTAAATATGAAACAACAGACAGTAGTTTGGTAAACTCAAAACTACAAGCTGGACAGTAATCAGATAATCAGTGCTGATCATACAAATCAAAATCGGCATAAGAAAGAATCAGAATAATTCACAAGAGCGTTGCGATTAGCAAAGGACTCGAAGACTATGCAAACTGCCTCATCTGCTCTGAGTAATTAATCACATGGTACCTGTCATTCCATGATGATCAAACCTTTTTCACTCTCCATTCCTCGGTGTGCAGAGCACCTTCAGTTAGAAGACATCTGTCAGAGAGCCAAGGAATCCTCAGCTGGTGTTTAATGGAAGGTCCATCTGGATTTACCATAGTACTATGTAAAATGGATTTTTTTTCTAACACCTGGAACAGTGACAGCAACTTGGCAAAGCAGCATGCTGTTTAAAACGACAGGGATGGGGAACTGGGGATCAAGGCTGAATCAAGGATTTTCTCGATCGTGGAGCCCATGGGCGGCCCTTTTCTCCTTTGGAAAGCGGCAATGCTTTGGACATGCTGGTTTTCCATTTGCACAGGTTCTCATGTGAAAGGGGCATCTGTCCTCACAGCTGTTACAAAAGAAAATAAACATGAGAATTCAGAATCAAGGACTAAATTCCAAGGAAAAACTCTGATCTGATTTGATAACGTTTTCAAAGTAAATTTTCCGGATACATATTTCAAATGTCAATATAAAATCCTGGATGGTTACCCCACATGGTTTCAAAATCTATTAAAGCACAATTGCTAACTTCTAAGCGTTCTATTCATCAGTAAAGTTCTTGCTATATAAATCCAATGACATCCCCTTCCTCAAAGAAAAAAAGCAAACATATGTGGATATATATTGAGAGAGAGATTGAGCTAAAGATTCAGCTGATCTGAAATAATAATTGTTGAAATTTCATCAACTTTAGTTTTTGCTTAAGACCCATAAGCCAACAATAGCAGGCAGGATTTTCTTGATTTCACAATCAACCATCACTCTATACACTTATTCCGTAGTTGCCAAACCTCTGTTTTACTATCAAAAAGGGGGCTTGGCACTGAACAGTAAACTTGGCTTAATAAGGAATCCCACCAAATCTAAATGGTATTTACATTAAATGTCAATGGGCCAAATTTAGGCAAAAGTGCAAAAGTCATTCACCTGCAGGTGTCTGGGTGAAATATCTTGTGCTTCTGGCAGCAGCTCTCCAGAGTTTCTCTGCACTCAATGCAACTGCAGTTTTCTGGGTGCTGGATGAGATCTCTGGGACATGGCGTTTTACAGACACACTCACAACGATCTTCATCAAACTTCATGTGTGGACCACAGAGAGCCAGCTCCTGGAGATGAGCATGATCTAAACGGAAAAAGTGTTGGTCAAAAAATACACCTCACAGCTTCCAGGCCATGGGTAGAAACAGTGATGTATTTCCTCACCGCAGACCATAATACTAATATAAAGGATACAGCAGTGACAATGAACTTTGATTCCACAGACATCTGTTGGAAAACATGATCAGCTGAGAGAGGAGGGTCTGAGAGGTTTTTGACAGACTTAGCTGACCGATATTTCTTCTAGAAAAATATACAAAACAACTGGATAACTACTACTCCATGTCCAATTCTGATCATCGAGTTGAAATTCACTGCAAAAAAACAGAGGAGATAGAAACTTTGGAAGAACTTGACAATGTCACCTTAGCATTCTTGAAAGCCTCGGAGGAAAGTTAAGTGCTGAGTTTCTTCCCCAAACCTGCTTCTCTCCCAGTTTGCCTCACTTAGTGAATGGTGCCATCACTCTTGACTCACCCGCCATGTTGAAACTAATTACCATGTCCACCCAGTTCTGCCTCCCTGAATTTGTTCTTTTTCATCATCACTGCCACTGCCTCAATTCAGTCAGTACCTTGTACTTTTTGTGCAGATGGCACTCATTCACTTCACCACCACAAGTTTTACCCTTTCAGTCCATTCTCCACAGTATCAAATGCAAATCTAATCATGTCACTCTACTGCTTTATTTTTTTTAAATTTATTTATTTTTGGCTGTGTTGGGTCTTTCGTTGCTGCACGCGGGCTTTCTCTAGTTGCTGTGAGCGGGGGCTACTCTTCGTTGTGGTGCGTGGGCTTCTCATTGTGGTGGCTTCTCTTGCTGCGGAGCACGGGCTCTAGGCATGAGGGCTCAGTAGTTGTGGCTCGTGGGCTCTAGAGCGCAGGCTCAGTAGTTGTGGCGCACGGGCTTAGTTGCTTCGCGGCATGTAGGATCTTCCCGGACCAGGGATCGAACCCGTGTCCCCTGCATTGGCAGGCAGATTCTTAACCACTGCGCCACCAGGGAAGTCCCTGCTCTACTGCTTTAATTACCTTGAAAGGTTCTCTCTTTCCCAATAAGAGTCAATTTCCCCACCAAGACATAAGGGACCCTCCATGAGGTGGACCCCATTAACCTCCCAGACTCATCTTCTGTCTCTCTCTCACGTATCCTATGCTCCTCCATACCAAATTATAGTACTTTCAGTTCTCGCGATATGTCAGGGTCTCTCAACCCCATGCTTTTCGCCTTGTCGTTCCCTTTGTTAGTCATCCTTTCCCCCGATACCTTTCCCAACTTCAAATTGAGTCAAGCGCCCTGCCCTGTGCATAGTTCCACTCTGCCCTTTCTGCTACTGCTTACATTTGTCTGTTGATTTCTCTGTTTCCTCTGTTAATGAAAAAATCCTAAAGGTTACAGGGATCAGGTCTCATCGTTCTGGCAGAAAATAGGCACTTGATAAACATTTGCTGAGTTTATTTGTTGTAATAAAAGGGTCCTGAAGCAGGCTGATACATGGAGATTCTGAAGAATCCCATCTAACATTCCAAGACACTGGGTTAAGGCATATGGTCTTGCCAATATCTGGCCATTAATGATATATCAAAATGGCAATCTCATGTCATCCAATCTCATAGTCTTAACTGCTCTGTGATTGACGATCTTTGAGGGCTCATGTGGAATGGGTATTGAAAGGCTAGATCTGAAGATCCTCCATTCTGAATTGTGTGAAGAGGAAAAAGGTAAGCTTTGTAAGCCATATGCAGATGCCAGATGTCACTCTGGGGCAAGACGAGACTAGACAGAAGCTCCTAAAAGATTTGCATGGATCACTAGGTGGCAGTAGAGATTCACTTAGAACACTTCAGGCTGTCCCAACTCCATTCTTGGAGCCAGTGGTTTAGGGAAACACAGTCTACCGGCTGTTCGCTGAACTTCAGCAAGGCAGTTGGCAGTGGCTGACCTCAATCCTTACAGATAAGTTGAAAGTGACAGAATGGATGTAGGAGAGCTGAGTGAAGCGGTAACTAGCTAAGGGTGATACCCGATGTACTGCATATCAATTTCAATCCTAGGGAAGTTGATGATGGGATACCAACGTGTTAGGTCCTCAGCCTTGTTCCATTTATCATTTTAAATCAATAAACTGATGGAATTTTTCCAAGTAAATTCTTGAATTTGTGGGTATCTTGAGGAATTTAAAATTCAGAATCAGGACTCCCTCATCTTTTTTCTTTTTTTGGTATTGTTAGTTTTCTTGTTTGTCTGTTTGTTTTTGTTTCTTGTTTGTTTGTTTGTTTGTTTTTGCATTACGCGGGCCTCCCACTGTTGTGGCCTCTCCCACTGTGGAGCACAGGCTCCGGACACGCAGGCTCAGCAGCCAAACCTCACGGGCCCAGCCGCTCCGCGGCATGTGGGATCTTCCCGGACCGGGGCACGAACCCATGTCCCCTGCATCAGCAGGCGGACTCTCAACCACTGCGCCACCAGGGAAGCCCTGTCTGTTTGTTTTTTAAAACAGTTTAGAGCAATGGCCTGAATCTAACAAGACGAAATTAAATTGGACTTGGATTCACTAACTCACATATGCTCATCCATGGAGGAGAAGTTACTGTAGAAAAGGCAGCTGGCTTAAGAGCCACGTGTGTGGGAAGAAAAAGTATTTAGTGAACAGTAAGCTCAATATATGTCATCAGTTTGATGAAGCCACTGGAGAAGTGACCATGAACTTGGCCCACGTTAACTGAGTTGCAAGACATGAAAATGAGAAGTGATCAGAAGTGATCCAGGCTACTCCATGCCTCTCACTTCCATCATTGCCACAACTTCCTAAAAGGTCCCCTTCCTCCTTGCCTGCCCCAGGCCAACCCATCCTCTTGTACGCTGTCACTCGGTTGATTTTGTTAAAATTCTAACTGGTGCTGTCACTGTCCACTTAAACCAGTTGAGTGGTTTCCTTTTGCGTTTAGCATCACATCCAAGCTCTGGGACACGCTTTACAAGGGTCCCCTGTGAACCTCTCCAGCTTCCTCTCTCACATCTACCCAGCCCCCTCCTGTAACGTCCCCACCGTGCTGACCGTCTTCCGGCAGCCTGACGCGCTGCGGTCTTTCACTTCCAGCCCTGAGCGCTCATTTTTCCCTGGCTCAGAGCACTCCTCTCTTTCTCCACTACTCTTCCCGCCCTCAACACACATGGGCGCCGGCTAAGTCCCTCCCCAGGAATTACCTTCAGCAGAAAGAAGCTGCCTCACCCAAGGTTATATCCCCTCTCTGAGGCAGCCCATATCCAGTGACGAGTCCATAGCACCCAGCCCCTTTGCCTCAATTTGAGGCATCCCCCCACGGGCTGTCCCAGTTTCAGCTCCCCACAGGCTTGGCTAACGCCTCTCAGCAACTGCAACACAGTTCAACTTCTCCCTCTGCCCAGTCCTGCCCCTGACCCTTCACCTTTGAAAGCAGTCCTGCATGTAAACCTCCAAAGTACAAATCTCTCTCCCAGGAGCTGTGTACCAGGGAAAGCTTGATTAGAACAGCCTTTAAGTTCTATGTATACAGCTTTCCACGATAACTTTCTTTTTAAAAAATTTTTTATTGGAGAATAGTTGATTTACAATGTTGTGTTAGTTTCAGGTGCACAGCAAAGTGAATCAGTTATACATATACCTATATCTACTCTTTTTTTAGATTCTTTTTCCATATAGGTTATTACAGCGTATTGAGTAGAGTTCCCTGTGCTGTACAGTAGGTTCTTATTAGCTATCTATTTTATGTGTAATACTGTGTATATGCCAGTCCCAATCTCCCAAGTTATCCCTCCCCCGCTTCCCCCTTGGTAACCGTAAGTTTGTTTTCTACATCTGTGACTCTATTCCTGTTTTGTAAATAAGTTCATTTGTACCATTTTTTGGATTCCACACAATAACTTTATAACACAGTTTAAAAATGGGTCACATGGAGAAAGAATTAGATTGGTTTTACGTGGTTCTATAGGGTAAAGCTGAACTAACAAGTTGATGCTCTAGAGCTGGGCTGTCCAACATGCTGGCTACGGGCCAGAATGAGCATAAAATGGCAAGTGTGAATTGAGATGTGCTCTAAGTGTAAAATACACACTGGGTTTCACAGACTTAGCACAAAGACTGAAGGGTATATCCTTGATAAATTTTATATTGCTTGCATGTTGAAATGAGAGTATATTTTATATTATTAGATTAAGTAAAACATTAAAATTAATTCCATCTGTTTCTTTTAACCTTTTTAATGTGAGTACTATAAAATGTAAGCTGCATATGTGACTCTCACTGTAATTCCACTGGACAGCACTCTTCTAGACAGAGAGAGAGACAGATTCAGGTTCAATATAGTTTATTAGCAACAAGAGTGTGCCCAGTGTTAACTGGGATGCCTCAGTGGGTTTTTCAAGTTTCCCCATGACAGATGTATTTTCTAGCAGAGGATGGCTGAAGACTTGGTGGGAAGGATGTACATGACATTCAAGATTGGCATGGGCATTTACAGAGTTACTGTATGACCCAGCAATCCCACTCCTGGGCATATATCCAGAAAAGACGAAAACTCTAATTTGCAAAGGTACATGCACCCCAATGTTAGCACTACTTACAATAGCCAAGACATGGAAGCAACCTAAATGCCCATCAACAGAAGAATGGATAAAGAAGATGTGGCACATGTATACAATGGAATATTACTCAGTCATAAAAGAGAATGAAATAATGCCATCTGCAGCAACATGGATGGACCCAGAGATTATCATACTCAGTGAAGTAAGTCGGAGAAAGACAAATATCATATGATATCACTTATACGTGGAATCTAAAAAAAATGATACAAATGAACTTATTTACAAAACAGAAACAGACTCACAGACATAGAAAACAAACATATGGTTACCAAAAGGAAAGGGGGGAGAGGATAAATTAGGAGTTTGGCATTAACAGATACACACTACTATATATAAAATAGATAAACAACAAGGACTTACTGTATAGCACAGGGAACTGTATTCAGTAACTTATAATGGAAAATAATCTGAAAAAGAATATATATATAAAACGGAATCACTTTGCTCTACACCTGAAACATTGTAAGTCAGCTATAGTTCAATTTTTAAAAAAGATCTGCGTGGGCATTTAAACTACACGAACTTAAAGATTCCCTCCAACCCTGGGTTGAGCTCTCATGAAAACACTTGGAAGCTGAGAGACTGAAGCACAGGGAGTAGCTTGTTATTTACAGTTTCTAGGACAGATTCCTTAGAGCTTAATCTTTACTAATCTTGCTTGCAGATCATAGTTGGAAACAAGCAAGGATCAAATTGCATGATTCCTTACTATCTTTACAGTGGAATCACGTCAAGTTCTCTCAGAAGTCAATAAAAAGTGGACTCACTTTCAGCCAGATGTTCATAATCAAAAATCAGAGCATTGTGAGTTATGTGCAGTGACGAGAGCCTAGCTCATCTGGTTCCCAAGTCCCCTGAGCCCAACAGCCGTGTTTTGCTTTTACTTTGCCCTCATTTCAGAAGAAGTCTCCTCTTATTCCCCATTTTTTTTCAAATTATTGGCATGTTTTCACATGACACAGTTGAAAGAAACAAACACGTCCAAAACGACCTTACATTCCTGTAGGACTTTTATATAAATAACTTAGTGAAGTGTGGTTGACTCGTGCTTCATTCTGAAGTGGCTTTCATTAAAGGTTATCATCCCCTTTCAAATTCAATATTTTGGGATGCTCTAATCATTTGGGTCTTTAAGATTAAAAAGCAGAATGATGCACTGGTAGACTTATTATATAATTATAGCACAGAGGTCTCTGGAATCTCACTGCTTCTATCACTCTTAGCTGTGTGTCTAGAAAGTTACTAGACATTTTGGTGTGTCCATCTTGTAATTGTAAAAAAAAAAAAGGGATACTAATCATACATTATAGGATTATTGGGAGGATTAAATGAGTTGATACATATAAAAGGCTTACAAGATCGCTTGGTCAATAAATACTAGTTGCTATTGTTGTTGTTATTATTATTACAATTATCATCTCACCACTGCTATGATTACCTTCCATTCTGGCGAGTGGATTCTCCTCCTGTAAAACACATGTACATTTGTTGCTGTCCCAGAGCATGTCAACAGGACAGAGTTTCCTGGAATGGGAACAGCTAGGAGGAGAAAACAATAAATCAGATTTTAAAGCTTTCAAGGGTAGTCATACCTTTGGAACATTTTTCTTTAAATGTTGAATACATTTCTGAGTGGAGAATAGTGAAGATTTTTAAGGAGCTTAATTCATATTTATGAACAGCATGTTATTAGACAGTAATTCTGTAATTACAAATATTCTCTGTGGAAACGTTTGGAAACCAAACTGTAATTTTGGAAAGGTATAATCTTTTTAAGAGGATTGGTGTTAAAAACTATGTAAATTAGCTGTCAACAGAGCTTATTTACCCCAAGTGAATAGTGTTCTAACACAGCTTCTAAGCATTATGTCTGTAAAACGGAGATAAGAACACTGGCCAGGACAGCAGGAAAATCTTGAGGATAAATGTTCCTTTATTATGAGCTTTCTTTTCTACTTGGCACTCACACAGTGCGTTTACTCCTTTACTTTTGCAAGATCTAAGTATCCAACTTAATTACTTTATATTTTTATTCAATAGTTGTGATTTGCCCTTTGTTTCTCTGTAGTAAATTCTTTTTCCCCAAATCAATGATTCTTACCTTTGATTTCAGAACACTTGAGGGTGTCATAATTTGTCTCATAAAGAATCACAAAATACTCACAAAATGCCTAGTCAAATTAAATTTAAGTCATTTTTCATTTAAAATAATATTTCCCATTTGGTCAACTTAAGAGGAAGGCTTAAAAAATTGCCAGAATCAGATGCACATAGTTGTGCCACTCCCCAATGACTCCAGGAGCCTTCTTTCCCCCTCCTAACTTTGGGACTTAAATATGTAAACAGCCTGAAATGGGTTTTATCTAATGCTTGTTCTGGAATGAGGGAACAGATGCCAAATTTGAGTCTGGAGTAGAGTTTTACAACTGCATTGGACTATGCATATTAAGAACAAACGTGCCCACAGCTTGCCATGCTGAGTTCAAAACCACTGAACTTTCTGATCCTACTGCAATATACATGTAACACCTCATAAAAAATATACTTGCCCAACAGTTACTACCCGTAGATCTGGGTTAGAACCTAAAAGACAAAGAGCTTGAAGAGAGAGCGATGACTCTGTAATTAATGAACTATGCTCCACACACAGCTTTAGCCCAGGCAAGAACAAGCATAAAGGAGTATAAGAAATGCTTACCGATCTTCTTCTGGGATCTGGATGGATCTTCTAATAATCGAGTACGGATGGCGGGGAGCTGTCGGCAAGCACTTACAACCTGTATGGTTGGCAACTTTAACAGGCACTAATTCAGGTACTGATGTCAAAGGTACTGATATCTCAAAGAGCTAGAGCAGAGAAAGAGAACTATAATACATATTTTAAAAAATAAGAGTAATTTCTACAGTCTGCATTTTTGCCTTTGTCCCTTACGGTAATGACTTTGGCAAAGTCGTCCATCAAGAATACACGACCACTCCAGGCAGGGTGGGATAGGGAGGGTGGGAGGGAGGGAGACAAAGAGGGAAGAGATATGGGAACATATCTATATGTATAACTGACTCACTCTGTTATAAAGCAGAAACTAACACACCATTGTAAAGCAATTATACCCCAATAAAAGAATACACTACCAAACGTAGAATAGCTAGCTAGTGGGAAGCAGCCAGCCGCATCGCACAGGGAGATCAGCTCGGTGCTCTGTGACCGCCTAGAGGGGTGGGATAGGGAGGGTGGGAGGGAGGGAGACGCAAGAGGGAACAGATACGGGAACATATGTATATGTATAACTGATTCACTTTGTTATGAAGCAGAAACTAACACACCACTGTAAAGCAATTATGCTCCAATAAAGATGTTAAAAAAAAAAGAACAGAGCTAATATGCAAACTATTATATATAGGATGGATCAACAACAAGGTCTTACTGTAGAGCACAGGGAACTATATTCAATGACCTGTAATAAACCATAATGGAAAAGAATATGAAGAGGAAAATATATGTGTATAACTGAGTCACTTTGCTGTACAACCGAAATTAACACAACATTGTAAATCGGCTACACGTCAATAAAATTAAAAAAAAAAACAGAACTAATAAGGCTAAGGGCTGGCATGAAGGAAAGAATTCTGGGCTGGGTGTCAGAAGACAAGGGCCTTAACCAACTTTATCAAGTATTTAAGTTTTGTCAAATCTCTTAAATTTTTGGTGTCCCTAGAATGCTTGTAAAATGGTGACCTTGTAAAATGGTAACCTTGTAAAATGTTCCCTGCTCCTGCTTTAAGCCTGAGTGTGAATTGTAAGGATTAAATGAAATTATAGCTATGAAGTTTCTTTGCAACCATGGTGAACAGATTACTGTTCAAAACGATTTACTTATCTCTTCCCATGCCATCTCCATTGGAGGAATATAGTTTTCTGTTCCTTGACTTTGGACTTGGCCACGTGACTTGCTTTGGTTGACAGGACATTAGCAGACATGACACAAGCACAGACTTGAACTGTGTGTGCATGCATTTGCTCTAGCCATGTGAAGAGCATGATCTAGCAGGCTTGCTGGTCTAAGGGATACGAGACACAGGGACCAGACCTGGACTCAACCTGCAGCTTGCCACCAAGCCCAACTGAGCCCACTCTAAACTAAATGAATCTCAGATATATGAATGAGAAAAAGCCATCACTGTCTGGAGCCACTAAGTTTTAGGGTGTTTATTATGCAGCATAATATAGTAATAACTGACTGATACAAGACCATCATGCCCAAACAATGATATACCATTCTATGTTTCTATATGCTAGCCCCTGTTGTAAACACTTCTGTATTAATTCATTTACCCTTGTAACAACATTATAGGGAGGGTTTTTTAAATTACCCCCCTCCAACTCTACAGGTGAAGAAACAGATGTACAGAGAGGTTATATAACTTGCCTAAGGCCATATAACTACTGATCGGAA